TTAGTGACTAATCATTGGAAAATTTGATGTTATTTGACAATCTAGGCATTGTCAAATGTAATCTAAATCTTTGCTGAGAGCAATGCTGTGTAGAGCAGCAGAACAATAATAGTGTCTGAATTGTAGCTTTCTAGAGAAATCAATTCTGATTTTACAATTAGGCTGTTAAAGTTTCTACACATTGTAGAAAATGGTGCAAGTCAGGCTAATGTACTAACAAATATTTGTCTTCATCAGGACGTGTGTAAAATACAGCAGAACTGTCATAACTTTTTTTTAACAATCCTAAAATGTAATCACTGTTTTCTAATACACATCTTAATATTTTAGTGTTTCTCACATCTCTGTATCACATATTCCATTGAAGTGCTGACATTTTCCTTAAACAAGAAACTCCAAACCCTAAACTTAATTTTCACAAAATAAATTATTCAGTAAATCTTCTTTAATTATCTCCTCTTTGACTGCTTTGTTGCCTGAATTGTTCCCTGCTCTTGCAGAGAAAATGAACCCCTGGATTTCCCTAATGGTTATTGTAGATGTCAGCTGTAGTCTGTGCTCTTCAAAGGATTGCTCCCGTGACCTAATCTCAGTGCTCCCCAAGGCTCACCAGTGATTACAGCGTTATGTTTTAGCAGTGACTGTGAGGTGGAGAGGAGTGCTTGTTGCTAGTTTTTATGGTCCACAGAAAAAGCTTTGTGCCATTGAAAAATGCAAGCTGCGTACCAATTAATGTGCCAAAGACAACTAAGGTCATGGTTACATACAAAGTGGGAAAGTTGCCACTTATTGACAGGATAATCAAACAGGATGGAGGAGTGAATGAACCGTACGTAACAGATGTTAGCCACATCTCTGAATAGACTATTGGAAGGTGCTTGGGTGCTGTTACGAGTGAGCCAATACAAGGAGCTGCACAGGAGAGTCAATATTTCACTTTCATCCCACATCATGTGCATTTCTGTTTTCTTCGCTGTTTTCACAGAGAAGTAGCATGGTTGTGTTTGGTCTTGAAAGCTTCTGTGTCTTTGACCTACAAACAGACTGGAGGAAGTAGCACGGAAAATCCCAGCTGCTTTCTTCCCTGCTCCTGGTGGAGCATTGCTGTTCAGGTTAATCCTAAGTGATTGAAGTACTGTGTTGGGCAGCGTGGGGTTTTGAGAGAACATCCTGGCAAATCAATACCTTCTGTATTTGTACTGTGGTCTAGATAGCAGAAACCTCAGTGAAGACTTACTCTTCCCTAGAAAGCTATCCTGCATTTGGACATTACCAGGCAGGGTTGGATGTATCGGTCAATGAGTCCCTGACTGACTAGGCTGTGTACTTCAGCCAGACTCTGGCAACACATCAAACCGCTGAGCCTAACTCTGACAGAGACTAGACTGGTGCACAGCTGAAAACTTTTTTTTCTGTACCAGGCACTCGGTGACTGTCAACGCTGAACCTGCAAAGTCAGAGTTCTTTTTTCATGAGACTTTCTACTGAAGACAAACACATCGAAAGAGCTTTGTAATCACTGTCTTTGCAGGGGTTTGCAGCTGTGGTATGCTACTAACATCTGATGAAAGCCACGCAGGCAAGGCTTTCTCTTTCCCCACGGCCTCCCCAGAAGAACAGCAGATTTTTTCATAAATATATTTGTGCTAACAGTAAGTATATTTTTTCATTTCCCAGTTTTTTTTTAGGAACTTGATTCAGCCTTTCATTCCTAAACGTGACAGGTGAACTCTTTAGGCCAAGTTTTAACTTGCAGTTTGTATTTATAAAGGAGAACTAGGCCATGAAAAACCAGGCTTTGAAATGGAAATTCTGTCTCAGCTACAGCCACAGCAGTGCTGCTCAATGCCCTATTTTGTTTTCCTTTTCCCATCGTCAGCCAAATCATGTTTGCCGCTCCTTGTTCAAAGGAGAAGTGTTAACTTTCCAGAATTCCCTGTGCTGCTGCTTATGAGTCTTACAGACGTTGTCAAATGCCATATCCAGTATTCCATGTCTTTGAGCAGGTCTTGAGTTTCTAAGAAAAGGCTATTCTTTGACTTCCAGAGCCTTGGAGCTAGTTCTAGGATACAGGGAACCCAAACAAAATAGAAGGTATGTATTCATATTCCGGTGCTAGCAGGTTATTTCTAGGCCAGTGTGTGCATTTCTGCCAGATAATCCTACCCCAGCTGTATGCTTTCATTTTACCAGGCTTCTATTAAAATCAGTAACTAATCATACAGTATGTATAGAGTAAACCAATATTGGATATTTGTGGGAACAGTCAATATGTCACTGGAATTTTCCTTAAATCTTTGCTCGATAGCAAAGTGAGATAAAGTGAGGGTTAGTTAAACTTGAATCTGGAACTGCTACGCAACTGGACAGCCACTGTAATTGTGAGCTATTATTAACAACATCTCTTTTTAAGCAAGTATCCTGTCTCTTCTGGAATTCATTTTGCTTCTAAATATATGAATTCTGATCTCATTTCCATTTGGAGAAGTCCTATGTTTTGGCAGATGGCAAAACTTTCCGCAGAGTGGCTCGCAAATGTTGGGGTGTGAAGTGCTCTTGGCAGTGATGCTCAGAAAATGTTCTGATGTGATTTGTGAAGCATGCTGTACCGGTATGCAGTACCTGGGAGAACAAAACCATGAGTAGCGTGCCTAGACCTTGCACAGGGTAGTATAAAGCATAACTCCTTGCCACTTTCTCCAGTGCTGAAACAGCAGGATTTTAGCTGACGATCTTGCCTGACCATCTGGTGAAAGAGTGTGAAAAAACTTTACAGGGACTAATTATTTCCTAGATCAATATTGCTGACAAGTACTCCGTGAGGCAGTGTGTATGTTTGCAGGGTGTTATGCTACTAGAAATGCCATTAATTATTTTGCCCGTGATTCGCCGAACACTGGGATTCTGTATGTTGGCGTTCTGCCCCAACATCACCATCTGTGTATATCACAGGTTATACCATTGTATTTATTTCAGATCTTTCTGGAGATTTTTCCATTTTCAGATTTAATAGCCTGGATTTTTAATATAAGGCATTAAAGCAATCTAACTTTTTAACACAATTTTCCTCTCAAAACTTGTCAAAATCTGTTTACTAAAAATATGCTCAGTGGGATGTATTCTCAGTCTAACTGCTTTCAGGAACAGCTGTTTAAACTGAGTTTAACAGCCTTATGCATTGACTAACTTCTTTATGTTTTGTTTTGGTTTGTTTGATTTTTTTTTTTTTTTTAAAAAGCCACTGTGACATGATTACCTTTTTACCTTGCAACTAAGTTATAATATGTATTATGTGGTAGTGTAAATACAAAAAATACAATATTGGCTATTCATATTAAAAATATTTGTGCTACACATGGAGACATGTTAATAATTTGATCAAATATATCAACATAATCAATGTGGCCATCAGAAATGTTAAAACAATGATAGAAATATTCCTGGTTTCAAAATACTAGAAATATTTTAAATATGTTTAAACCGATTTTTCTTCCCAAGACAAAAATCTGATGCAATTCCATATCTAGTCAAAGAACTGTTGCTTTTTAATTATTCTTAATAATAGCCTTGTAAATAAACCAATTTAAGATTAAAATACCCATAGGTTCTCTTCAACCTTTTGTGTTACCTATTGTGGCTTCAAGGTCTTTTAACACTTAAGGTGTACAAAACCAGTCTGATCTGAGAAACTCCTGTAGATTTTTCTGTTGTTAAAACAGATGTCCTGCCTTATTTACTGTAAAATGGAACAGTCAACCAGTGGAGCAACACATACGGTCTAAATTCACTGACCTATATTCACTGGTAAAAAGAAAATCTCTGGTGAAACCTCGGGGAGGGAAGAATCATTGCATTATCCCTTCAGAGAGAAAAAGAAGTAATCAAAGAGTTTATAGAGCACTTTTTCATAAAAGAAAAATATTTTTGGGGTGGGTGACTGTGTGGAAAAATAAAAGACATTTTAGAATTTACAGTGGAAACAGAGGAAAGTGGTAGAATTTGTGCATGGACAGTTGGGGTGAGATAAAATGGAAAAAAGAAGACTTACGACAGGGTAGTAAGAAGCACCTTGTTAACGGAGCAGGGATGAAGTCCTTAGGGAGAAGGGTGTCCTTGTGAAGAGAAACCTCTGGGCTTTGCAAACTATGTTCAGAAGTATCACCCAACCCAAACCCCAAAGCTAGTACATGAACTTTTCAGCAGAAAAAATAAATCATCACTGATTATTGACAAAGGATCAGGTAGGATGAGACTACGCAACTCAATATCTTCGATTATTAAACCGCTTCAGGGATACACAATCTGTTTTTTTCACAAGGACTACTGCAGTCAACCTAGAAACCTCTTATGAATGCCCAGATAAAACCTGTATCCTTTCTGGTTTGCTACCTTTGCATTTGGCAAAGATTTTCCTTATTTTTATGAACCTCTCAGATCTCTAGCACAGCACAACTCAAGAGTTTGCTCTTAATGCAGTGTCTGCTTAACCCTGGCTCTAGTTGAAGAGGTGCTTTATACTCTAGCGAGGGTACTTGTGTCTTAAAGACAGAGTGCTGCTGACACCACTAGTAGTAATTACCCAGAGAAGTAACTCTGTTCCTTATGCAGTAACTCTCTGCTCCCAGTGTGGTGTTTCACAGTGAGTCTGTGTTCCTCTGTGTGGTTTTAGCTCTGGAGTAGGTAACATAAAGAAGCTGAGTCACTACTGCAACAGAAGACAAACCCTTGAACAGCATGAAGACAAGTGTTTTACAAAACAGGCTATATGATTGCACTTCACTTTCAGCTACCAGGTGGTGGTTTTTCTTGAAGGAGTCAAACCTGTTTTTCAAAGGCTTTCCCAGAGCCCTGCCCATAGGATTCACCACTCTAACTATAGGAAATACTATTGCAAAGCAGGGAGCCAAGATTTACCTGAGTTTAACCAAATAAAAGAGTCAGGATGATTGAGGCCACAAGTCTGACTTGAATTTCCATTGAGAAGGTCCTCTTTCTCTCAGCAGGTTGTGGAGTACATCTGTATGACTTGCCTAAACTCAACACTTAGCTCTCGGGCAGCTAAAGTTTGGTGAAAAGAAACCCTGATGCGCAGAGATGAAGAGATTTGCCCACCACTAAAATTGTCTGGAGTCCAGACACCAGAGTTCAGACCTCCAAGACTGAGACTCTGCCCAGAGGAAGAGACTACATCATAGGTGTCTATGTCTGAACCACCCCTTGGGCACCAGTCAGGTCAGCAGAGAAAATCATCTCACTTTAATGTGGGCTAGGTGTATAGAATGCGTCAGATGTATTGTGCTCTGAAAATACCTTATTTTCTCTATTGTTTGTAAAAGGAACTTTAAGTGACTAGTTCAGCTGTAGATGCTTGCAGAAAAGTGAGATGAGACCAGCCTCCTGTTGAAGCCCTTACTCTACAAATCCTGGATTTTAAACTGCAGTAAATTGCACCTTTTGTTGGATCTGTGCACTGGTATAGGGAATAGACTGGACTATTTGGAAGACTGTGAGACTGTGAATTGGGAGTTCAGTCTTAATCCCAACTAAGACCGTCTATTGTTGTGTGTTGTGAGTGACAAGTCACCAGTAAATCAAATCCTAAATTTTGATTCTACTCATTTTCACAAATTAAAAACCAAAGGATAGGTTGTCACTTGTTATTACAGGTAGGGCATGAATGAGTAAGAAACAGCTTTAGTATCAATGGTTGTTTAAATTTAAGGTCCCCATCCACACTGTTTTCAACAGTTTCTTTTTTCATCTCACTTCCTTTTGCTCAGTGCTCTGGAGACCCCCTTTCTCACACAAACATTTGCCTGCTGACCCATCTCTGGATTACAGGACTGGGGCTCTTTCTCCCCTGAGTCTCTTGATCCAGATTCTCTATGTTTTTTCCTTTCAATACAGGACCAGCCTGGTGTCACAGCAACTTGGGTTGGCTTAAGCAACATGTAAGGGTAGAAAAATTGAAATAAAGCTGGGTTGTGTAGTGTGAAATGTCTTCCCACTGAAGAGCTGAATGACAGAGCATTAGACAGGATAAACCTGAGTATCACAGATGATTTAAATCTGTTTCTCCCTCACAGTGTGATGGTTCCCTGTGTGCTTGAGCTACCTCTATACAAAGGGGGTAGGCTGGATGTGAGGTCTGAGTGCCCTGTCTTAACTTTCCAGCTGCTATTTATATTACATTACTTCACAGAGCATCCAACTGAGAACAGGACCTTGCTGTGTGAAGTACAAGGAGTGTACAAGGAGTTTTGTACAGTCTTTGACCGAAGTCCACAGTCTTTTAGTGAGTCTTGAACAGTCTTTGACTAAAGAAAAGCATGCAAGCTAAACACACAGGGCAAGCGAGGAGCAAAAAGGAGAGAAATGTCTGTGGGGAACTCACCATGAATCAAAAAGAGGTGGAGTATACATCTATACTGTTTCTTTTTATAATTTGATCTGATGCTTCACTCAGTTTTTTATTTCAATTACTTTAGTGGCCCATGTTAGTCAAGCAGGTGAGATACCTGTATCATGTGAGCCAAACCCCAACAATTAATTCAAAGGCGCTACAGCAATAAGGGATCTGGTCTTATAAATTATTTAGTATACCTTCAAGTTACTCCTTTTCACAAAGACTGAGGTGGAGCCAAGAACGAACAAGGCCAGTATCACTAAAGATTAAGTGAATCTCTCCCTGTGTCCCCAGACCCTAGCTTTGTGTTGCAACATTTCAAATAATACCTTTTCACTAGACTATACTTCTCAGTGAAATATCTGTAATGTATTTTATGATATTCTTCTGTCTCAGATTGGTTGTTTCATAGCAGATCTCTGAGGTCTCTTCAGATTAATGGGATTAGACTTTTTTTTTTTTTTTTTTAATACTGGATATTTCCAAGCATGCTATTCAGTTACCTTCCATACTCCAAATACACTATGGTGTTACTCCCTCTTTTACTAATTCCTTATATATTACATTCTGAATGGCTTACACTGAGCAATATTTATTTCTTGAGTATTTCCATCTGTATAAGGTGCTTCTCCATGTGGCTTTGTGGTCTAGCCCTTACAAAACATTGTCACCAGTAAGAAGCTTCTTTCCAAATTTACTCTGTTTAAGTACGTTGCTTTGATCTCATTTGGGGGTGTGTGTGCATAAATGTGCATCTAAACAGGACAGAAAAGAAAATGGGGTGACCTCTTGCAGGAAATAATTGTTTCTGATAGTGGGAAAGGATCATAACAGTGTGTTTGCTTAGCTGCAGAGTGACTCTATGTGAACAGGGAACCCAAATCTGAGTCTTGTTTAACTTTTCCAGGGAGTTGTGTACCGGCTGTACAAGAAGGTGAGTTCCCAAATGGATGCATCCATGCCAAGAGCCCCGCTCCCATCAGGAGCTCTGTGTGCAGATCAGTGGTTGCTGAGGGGCAAGGATCCCTGATAGCAGAACAAATTGTCTGTTCTTTTTCTTAGTGGACTTCACTATTACACTTATTTTTTACCTGAAGGATACTTTTTGGTCCATGAGTCCTGCCCCACCTGCCACATGCTTCACATCATATAATCCTTTCAGAATTTTTCCATCTCCCATTTTAGAAGTATCTGGATAGTAAAAGCTGTCTGCTATAAGGGCTAGGAATTGTCTTTTATTTTCTACCTAGATACACTGACTGCTAGGTTGTCCTCGGTTTTGTGACCCAAATTTAAATACCTTTTCTGAGGTACCATTCTCATAGTATATATTCTTAGGTTAACCCCCTTTATGCTCCCCTAGGGAGAGAGATCAGTCTGTCTCAGCTTTTGTTTGATTAGACTAAAGACACATTCTCTTTTCTCCTCTCCCAAAACAGGGTTTCATCTCCCTCAGTTACCTGAAATGCCATTACCTGCATTACACTGAATGTGGCTTGCCAGTTGGGTTGCTTGATATCTCATCAATACTTTATATAGAGACACTTGTGTTTGTGAATTTGTTGAAAATTCTTCCATAAGATTGGATTTGCCTTTGTTTTGGCTGTATCACATCAGAAACTCATAGTTGCTTTATGATCAGTTAGGTCAAGAAGATGCATTTCCAGCTGATGAGCGTTCATGTTTTAGCTGTTATTTCTGTTATTAATCCACAAGGGCAAGACAGAAATATTAAGAGCTTACCGACAGCCACAGAAAGTAAGTTCTGGAACAAGGACAGACCTGGACAAGGCCTGATCCCACCAGTGCCAGATGTGACATCAGACATTTCTTGCAAATCTTTCTGTTTTTAAGCAAGATAACATTGATACCATGAAAGTCATGGGAATAGATTATTTTTATGATTGTCCTTGTCTCTAAGATAACATCCCTGATTTGTGTAATAGCACAGAATAAGGTGAAGTCACATTCAAAACAGTTACTTTGCTTATCAGAAGGAAGCAGTATTATTTCTGTAGGGCACAGCCATGGCTAATCACTTCACTTGCATTTGTGTTTCTCAAAAAATATCCCACAGTATACGATAAGGATAATGGCTTCATGCCACAGTTTCTCACCCAGCAATCCCTTTTTGAGGGACATGGAAAAGGCTGATGACAGGAGAGCTTTGGACCCTTTGCTCGGGAGGTGTCTGTGGAAGGTGTGTGTGCTGATGATGATTATCAGGTAATTACAACAGGAAGGCAGAAGCCAGTCTGAATGCTCACGTGCTGTATTGAGATAGGAAAACTCTTAGCATAAGCTTCCACTGATCAAACAGACATTGGGATAAACCAGGACTTGGCTGACTGTAATATTCCTGTTGCCAAGGAGGTCAGGGCTGGGCCAGACCGGCTGGGAGCTGGCGGAGCAAACCACCAAGGTTGTTTATTTATGTGGCAGGGCAGGCAGAGGCTCTTCAGCCCACCGAAGGACCTCCCTGAGCTGAGCAGCTCTCTCATTAGGTTTCCAGGTAGGTGTAAGGGTCACAGTCCAGGCCTCATTGCAAAGGAAATGAATTAAAGTAAGAGAAGTCTGCAAGAGAGCAAAGAGAAGGAGGAATTTCTCAGTATCTAGTTCAGAGGAGAAAGGGACATGGTTGCTCCCGAGTGTCCTTTTTAGCAAAATACTAGGAAATGAGATATAATAGGGAGGTATTTAGCCTGACTCCATACTTACTTCTTCAGTCTTGATTGCATACCTTGTGCTTTCCTCTAATTTTTTGCAACTTTTTCAAAATCTGAAGAGTTTCCTGGGAGTGACAGTTCTGTCTGAGAAAGGCCAGAGTTGTTATTTGCGAGTGGGTGCAATTTCCTCCCTGCTGTCTTCCTGGTTTTCAGCCTACTCCAGTTTCTTTTACTACTGATTTTATTTTCCCTTTCATTGCAAATAACTGATTTCTCAACACTTTTTCTCTCTCTTTTTTTTTTTTTTCTTAATGATCTCATTATCCATTAAGATTGATTAACTGTTTCCTGCCTTCCTGCTTTCCCTTAGCTTTCCTTCTGCTGTCTGTGTAAATATTCTTCAGCACTCTGATATTGTCCTCATGTCTGTTGTGGGATGAGGCTAATTAATACAGGCTTTGCACTTTCTTTGTAGGTCATGGTGTGGCTTCATGCTAGCTGACTTGGACCCTTTTATCCTGAAATGTCAAGTAAAAACAGTCAGTCAAAAAATCTTGACTGCATTAAGTGAAAAATGTCAAAAAAAGATATCTTCAGAATTTTTTATCTATTCTAGAAAATACTTTTTCAGAATTAATTTTTTAAAAATATACTTACTTATCATTGTCATTTCTCCATTCTTCTCTTCTCTTCTTCTGTTTTTTAGAAAAAACAGAAACTATCCCACAAAAAAAAATATAGAATTTGAATAGGGTGACAGGATCATTTTGACCAAAAAATTAACCTGCTTTAGCAACCGTACAGGGGTAAAAACCTGTTCTCTTTAAGGAGCACCCATGTTTTGCCATGAACATTTCTTGCCAGGTGACTTATGCAAGGCTCAGGTGCATCTGAAGGATGAAAGCCTGCTCTGCGTAGTGCTCTAGGCAGTTGGGTAGAAAAAGCCATCTTGATGAAGAAGGTAATGGGGTGCTCCAGGCACTGCATCCCCTCCCCACAGGGTTTGGCTCTGGCTTTGGTACTGTGAGAGAGATGGGGCAGAAGACACTCAGCTGCACTCTGGGGGAATTCCACTGATAACATATGTTTCTTAAAATCTCAAGCCACAAATACCAGGTGAATGTATTTACCAGAGTATTTCTTACATAAACTGTTTTCCA